GTTACACACACAGAGTGTTACACACACACAGGGTGTTACACACACACGGTGTTACACACACACACAGGGTACACACATACAGTGTTACACACATACACACAGTGTTACACACACAGGGTGTTACAAACACATTGTTACACACACGGGGTACACTATACAGGTGTTACACACAGGGTGTTAAACACACAGTGTTACACACACAGGGTTACACATATACAGTGTCACACACACAGTGTTACACACACAGTGTACACACACAGGGTGTTACACACACAGGGTGTTACACACACACACAGGATACACACACACACAGTGTTACACACACACACAGGGTGTTACACACACACACACAGGGTGTTACACACACACACAGGGTGTTACACACACACACAGGGTGTTACACACACACAGTGTTACACATATACACAGGGTGTTACACACACAGTGTTACACACACACACAGGGTGTTACACACACACAGTGTTACACACACACACAGGGTGTTACACATATACACAGTGTTACACACAGTGTACACACACAGGGTGTTACACACACAGAGTGTTACACACACACAGGGTGTTACACACACACGGTGTTACACACACACACAGAGTACACACATACAGTGTTACACACATACACACAGTGTTACACACACAGGGTGTTACAAACACATTGTTACACACACGGGGTACACATATACAGTGTTACACACAGGGTGTTAAACACACAGTGTTACACACACAGGGTACACATATACAGTGTCACACACACAGTGTTACACACACAGTGTACACACACAGGGTGTTACACACACAGGGTGTTACACACACACACACAGGATACACACACACACAGTGTTACACACACACACACAGGGTGTTACACACACACACAGGGTGTTACACACACAGAGTGTTACACACACACAGGATACACACACACACACACAGGGTGTTACACACACACAGTGTTACACACACACAGTGTTACACACACACACAGGGTGTTACACACACAGGGTACACATATACAGTGTCACACACACAGTGTTACACACACAGTGTACACACACAGGGTGTTACACACACAGGGTGTTACACACACACACAGGATACACACACACACAGGGTGTTACACACATACAGTGTTACACATATACACACAGGGGGTTACACACAGACACAGGGTGTTACACACACACAGGGTACACACATACAGTGTTACACACATACACACAGTGCTACACACAGTGTTACACACAGTGTTACACACACAGTGTTAGACACACACAGTGTTACACACAGTGTACACACACAGGATGTTACACACACACACACAGGGTGTTACACACACACACACAGGGTACACACACACAGGGTGTTACACACACACAGTGTTACACACACAGGGTGTTACACACAGGGTGTTACACACAGTGTTACACACACACACAGTGTACACACACAGTGTACACACACACAGTGTTACACACACACACAGTGTACACACACAGTGTACACACACACAGGGTGTTACACACAGTACACACACACACAGGGTGTTACACACATACACACAGTGTTACACACAGTGTACACACACAGTGTACACACACACAGGGTGTTACACAGGGTACACACACACATAGTGTTACACACACACACAGCGTACACACACACACAGTGTACACACAGTGTTACACACACACAGCGTACACACACACAGTGTACACACACAGTGTTACACACACACAGCGTACACACACACACAGGGTACACACAGTGTTACACACAGTGTTACAGACACAGTGTTACACACACAGTGTTACACACACAGGGTACACACACACACAGGGTACACACACAGTGTTACACACATACACACAGTGTTACACACACACAGTGTTACACACACAGTGTACACACACACAGTGTACACACACACACAGGGTACACACACACAGTGTACACACACACACAGGGTACACACACACAGTGTACACACACACACAGGGTACACACAGTGTACACACAGTGTACACACACACAGGGTACACACACACAGTGTTACACACACACAGTGTTACACACACACACAGTGTACACACACACAGTGTACACACAGTGTACACACACAGTGTACACACAGTGTACACACATACACAGTGTACACATACACACAGTGTACACACACACAGGGTACACACACACAGTGTACACACAGTGTACACACACACAGGGTACACACACACAGTGTACACACAGTGTACACACACAGTGTACACACACACAGCGTACACACACAGTGCACACACACACACACAGGGTACACACACACAGGGTACACACACACACAGTGTTACACACACACACACACAGTGTACACACACACAGGATACACACACACACAGTGTTACACACACACACACAGGGTGTTACACACACACACAGGGTGTTACACACACAGAGTGTTACACACACACAGGATACACACACACACACAGGGTGTTACACACACACAGTGTTACACACACACACAGGGTGTTACACACACAGGGTACACATATACAGTGTCACACACACAGTGTTACACACACAGTGTACACACACAGGGTGTTACACACACAGGGTGTTACACACACACACAGGATACACACACACACAGGGTGTTACACACATACAGTGTTACACATATACACACAGGGGGTTACACACAGACACAGGGTGTTACACACACACAGGGTACACACATACAGTGTTACACACATACACACAGTGCTACACACAGTGTTACACACAGTGTTACACACACAGTGTTAGACACACACAGTGTTACACACAGTGTACACACACAGGATGTTACACACACACACACAGGGTGTTACACACACCCACACAGGGTACACACACACAGGGTGTTACACACACACAGTGTTACACACACAGGGTGTTACACACAGGGTGTTACACACAGTGTTACACACACAGTGTTACACACACACACAGTGTACACACACAGTGTACACACACACAGTGTTACACACACACACAGTGTACACACACAGTATACACACACACAGGGTGTTACACACAGTACACACACACACAGGGTGTTACACACATACACACAGTGTTACACACAGTGTACACACACAGTGTACACACACACAGGGTGTTACACAGGGTACACACACATAGTGTTACACACACACACAGCGTACACACACACACAGTGTACACACAGTGTTACACACACACAGCGTACACACACAGTGTTACACACACACAGCGTACACACACACACAGGGTACACACAGTGTTACACACAGTGTTACAGACACAGTGTTACACACACAGTGTTACACACACAGCGTACACACACACACAGGGTACACACACAGTGTTACACACATACACACAGTGTTACACACACACAGTGTTACACACACAGTGTACACACACACAGTGTACACACACACACAGGGTACACACACACAGTGTACACACACACACAGGGTACACACACACAGTGTACACACACACACAGGGTACACACAGTGTACACACAGTGTACACACACACAGGGTACACACACACAGTGTTACACACACACAGTGTTACACACACACACAGTGTACACACACACAGTGTACACACAGTGTACACACACAGTGTACACACAGTGTACACACATACACAGTGTACACATACACACAGTGTACACACACACAGGGTACACACACAGTGTACACACACAGGGTATACACAGTGTACACACACACAGGGTACACACACACAGTGTACACACAGTGTACACACACAGTGTACACACACACAGCGTACACACACAGTGCACACACACACACACAGGGTACACACACACAGGGTACACACACACACAGTGTTACACACACACACACACAGTGTACACACACACAGGGTACACACATACAGTGTACACACACAGTGTACACACACACAGGGTACACACACACAGTGTACACACACACAGTGTACACACACACACAGTGTACACACACAGTGTACACACATACACAGTGTACACATACACACACAGGGTGTACACACACACAATGTTACACACACACACAGTGTACACACACACACAGCGTACACACACAGTGTACACACACACAGTGTGTACACACACACAGTGTATACACACACACACAGTGTACACACACACACAGTGTACACACACACAGTGTTACACACACAGTGTACACACACAGTGTACACATACACACACACAGTGTTACACACACAGTGTACACACACAGTGTACACATACACACACAGTGTTACACACACACAGTGTACACACACACACACAGTGTGCACACACACAGTGTACACACACAGTGTACACACACAGTGTACACACACAGAAAATATGGCATCCGTGCAGGACCGCCCTTTCCTGAAACCGCATTGGGGCTCCGCAAGCCTCTCCTCAGCGTGCCTGGCAAGGCGATGCTGAATAATCCTTGCCAGGACCTTTCCCGGCACACTGAGGAGTGAGAATGCCCCAGTAGTTGTTACAGTCTGTGTGGTCCCCCCTTCTTAAAGAGGGGGACCACCAGGGCATCCTTCCAATCCTGTGGAACCCGTCCAGTGGCCCAGACTGTTTTTATGATGTCATATAGGGCAGTCTGTGCACAAACGCCAACCTCCCTCAGCATTTAGCTTGGGAGATAATCTCTGCCCGCTGCCTTTCCTGGTCTCAGACTCTGGATCGCCTTCAGTACTTCCTCAACAGATGGCACCTCAGCCAGCCACTCACAGGGGGTGACTTCCTCCTCCAATATTTGAGGCACCGCAGCCTCAGCAGGGTCATCCTCACTTTGTGCCATGATGTTTTCCTGACTGAGGGATTTCCCCTCCCCCAAGACCTCACAGAAATGCTAAGCAAATCTGCAAACCTGTTCCTGGGGGTCGGAGATTGGATCACCGTTTATTCCCCTGATGGTAAAAGGTGAGGCGCTGCACGTTACTTTTTTCATGGAGTCAGCCAGGGTCTCTGGGGAGGTCTGGACCGCGTACCCAAAGCAGCCATTGCAGCTGCATGAACCAGTCCTAAACCTCGCCAATTTACCCTCAAAATCAGGAGGAGTGGGGGACCATGCCAACCCCAGCCGCAAGCGATGATGAAATTCTCGCTTGAAACTTTCATCAGCTGGCTGAGACCATGCCACTAAGGGTTTGAATGGGATCCTGGGTGTACACCCACCACTAGAGTGGAAGAATGGCAGGCGCATCTTACAGATGACAAGTCGATGGTCAGTGGGCAGATCAGCTCCACGGTAGGTCCTGGTGTCAAGGACTTAGGCTCGCATCCGCTGGTCCGTCACTATGTAGTCCAGCAGATGTTCTTGCTTGGACCCGGCATGCATCCATGATGTTGTGTGGATGCGCTGATGCCGGAACAGCGTGTTGGTAATTACAATCCCATGGGCTGCACAAATATCTAGCAGCCTCCTACCGTTGTTATTGAGCTGATCTGGCCCATGCCTTCTAATCACTCCAGACCAGGTGCCAGCATCATGACCAACTCGGGCATTGAAGTCACCCAACATGATGACTCTATCCCGAGGGGCCACTTTAGCCAGCACCTGTGACAGGAGGTCATAGAAGGCATCTGACTCATCGGCTTTGCCTGCATCCCTCCACCACGGATGTGCGTCTTCGGTGGGGTCATAAGTAACCACGACCACCACTCCTCGCCTCCGATTGATGGGACGGCGAGCCCAAAGTAGCCTGGGGCTTACAGCTTCCCACACCTCACCGCCACGCTCCCACGCCCCCTTCATTCTTCCGTTCAGAAGAAGAGCCACACCCTGTTGTTTGACAGTCTGCTGCCCCGAGTAGAGGGACTGTCCACCCCTCATGGTGGCGGGAGCCACAGCCGGTCCACCGGACCTCCTGAAATACCGCAGAGATCCAGGCGGGTACCGGTCCAGCTCCCGACAGACGAGTGGCAGCCTCTCCCCCCCCGCCGCGGTGAGCGCTTGCAGTAGGGGTCTCCCGTTACCGGAGGATACCCCCCCCCCCCTCCCCGCTCGGGAGGGAGGGGGGGGGCATTCAGTCTCCTGGCTCCGTGGTTTGCCCGAGGAGGCGACAACCTGAATGCGTTTCCACCCGGGGCCTAGGGCACGAGGCTTATTTGGGTGTTGCCACCGTGGTGTTTCAATGGAACAAGCGCCAAGTGGAAGGGGTTACCACCAGCCCTTCGCGCGCACACACACACACACGCGTGTACACACACACGCGTATACACACACACATACACACACACGCACACACACGTGTGTACACACACACACGCGTGTACACACACACACATGCACACGTGTACACACACACACGTGTACACACACACACGTGTACACACACACACACGCACGCACACACGCGTGTACACACACACGCGTTTACACACACACACGCATACACGCGTGTACACACACACACGCACACACGCGTGTACACACACGCACACGCGCATACGCGTGTACACACACGCGCACACACGCATGTACACACACACACAATAACAAAGATCCCCCGTATAGCCTTAACAGACTGTAGGGGCAAGTGCTGTTAGCGAGCACCTATGAAGGCCGGATTGGTACACGAGGGGGTGGGTGGCAATGTTTTACACACCGCACCAGGTACTCATTTTAGGCTGAGTCGACCTAGGGGAGGCCCGGGACCAGTTCAGATAATCGTCACACACACACACACACGCGTGTAGACACACAACAACAACCGCCATTCGCCACTAAGTGGCGGTGACATCACCACGACGCTTGTGCCAGGCCATGTGCACCTTGAGGCCACGTGAAGTGTCGAACGCCCGCTGGCAGGAGGTCACGGGGCAGACCCAGCAGGGCTGATGCACCACCTGTGCCCCCTACTGTGCCAACCTGCTGTGCTTTAGCCACCCGGCGCTCCGCTCGTTGTTCTGAGCATCGCTCCTCCACCCTCCGTTGTTGTTGGAGGGCGACTGCCTCCAACTGCCCAGTAGCGTCCTTCACGAGCCTCCTCCACAGAGGCCGATCTTGACACCGCTGGTACCGGTCATCGGCAAGTCCACTCAGCTCCACGTCCTCCTGTACCACATCACTCCATCTCTTCTCTAGCCCGTGCCGCGCCCGTTTAGTCCCCTCGATCCGGCCGAACAAAAGCTGTTTCGGCATGCGGTGGCTGGGCATGCGGGCTACATGACCCAGCCATCGCAGCCTTGCCTGCCGGAGGAGCTCACCGATGGGACCGTGCCCAGATCTTTCAAGGATTTGTGAGCTCCTCACACAATCCAGCCTGGTTAAACCCAGGATGGATCGTAGGCAGGCCAGCCTAAATGTTCATAACCAGCGAAGATGTTCCATTAGGGGGGTCCACGTTTCGCAAGCGTAGAGAAGGGAGGGAATGACCGTGGCCGAGAAGACCTGAAGCTTAGTGCGCAGCGACAGACCAGGTAGCTTCCACACAGCGTTACGCAACCGATGAAAAGATATTGCCGCTCGACTGATTCGGAGTGAGACCTCTGCTGTTAAACTGGAGCCAGTCATAAGCACACTGCCCAGGTATGGGAAACTCTCCACTCTCTCCACAACTGCCCCATCAGTTGTGTGTGAATACACACACACACACACGTGAACACACACATGTACACGCACACACGTGAAAGCACTCACGGGGGTGAGCGAGGGGTTCATCCGTTTTCTGGCCTTTGTACGCGGGCGAGTCTGTGCGTGAGTCTCTGTGTGAGTCTTTGCCCGAGTCTCTGTGCGAGTCTCTGCGTGAGTCTCTGTGTGAGTCTTTGTGTGAGTCTCTGTGTGAGTCTCTGTGTGAGTCTGTGGGTGAATCTCTGTGTGAGTCTCTGTGTGAGTCTCTGTGCGAGTCTCTGAGCGAGTCTCTGTGTGAGCCTGTGTGTGATTCTCTGCGTGAGTCTCTGTGCGAGTCTTTGCCCGAGTCTCTGTGTGAGTCTCTGCGCGAGTCTTTGTGTGATTCTCTGCGTGAGTCTCTGTGCGAGTCTCTGTGTGAGTCTCTGTGTGAGTCTCTGAGCGAGTCTCTGTGTGAGCCTGTGTGTGATTCTCTGTGTGAGTCTCTGTGTGAGTCTTTGCCCGAGTCTCTGAGCGAGTCTCTGAGCGAGTCTCTGTGTGAGTCTCTGTGTGAGTCTGTGTGTGATTCTCTGCATGAGTCTCTGTGCGAGTCTCTGCGTGAGTCTCTGTGTGAGTCTCTGTGTGAGTCTCTGTGTGAGTCTCTGTGTGAGTCTCTGTGCGAGTCTCTGTGTGAGTCTCTGTGCGAGTCTCTGTGTGAGTCTCTGTGTGAGTCTCTGTGTGAGTCTCTGCGTGATTCTCTGCTTGAGTCTCTGTGCGAGTCTCTGTGTGAGTCTCTGTGTGAGTCTCTGCATGAGTCTCTGTGTGAGTCTCTGTGTGAGTCTCTGTGTGAGTCTGTGTGCGATTCTCTGCGTGAGTCTCTGTGTGAGTCTGTGTGTGAGTCTCTGTGCGAGTCTTTGCCCGAGTCTCTGAGCGAGTCTCTGTGTGAGTCTCTGTGCGAGTCTCTGTGTGAGTCTCTGTGTGATTCTCTGTGTGAGTCTCTGTGTGAGTCTCTGTGTGAGTCTCTGCATGAGTCTCTGTGTGAGTCTCTGTGTGAGTCTGCGTGTTCCCGTGTCCGCGAGTCCGTGCGTCGTCCGTCCGGGGAGCCGTCCGTTCGCCTCGCGCGGTCCATCATCACCCCGCTCCAGGGGGCACAGGCGAGTCCTGCGAGCTGAGTCCACGCAAACAGATCCAGGTACCAGGCCACTGCAAAGGCAAACAAGCCAGAGAGGTCCCCCGGCCCACCGTGCAGCCTAGCAACAAGACTGTGCCTGTGGCACGCACGGGCGGTGGTGGTGGTGGTGGTGGTGGCGGTGGTGGTGGCGGTGGTGGTGGTGGTGGCGGTGGTGGTGGTGGTGGCGGTGGTGGTGGCGGTGGTGGTGGTGGTGGTGGGGGTGGGGGTGGTGGTGGTGGCGGTGGTGGTGGCGGTGGTGGTGGTGGTGGTGGTGGCGGTGGTGGTGGTGGTGGCGGTGGTGGTGGTGGCGGTGGTGGTGGTGGTGGTGGTGGCGGTGGTGGTGGCGGTGGTGGTGGCGGTGGTGGCGGTGGTGGTGGCGGTGGTGGTGGCGGTGGTGGCGGTGGTGGTGGTGATGGTGGTGGCGGTGGTGGCCAGCAACCACCACCGCCACGCCCGGCCGCCTTTGTCTCTCTCTCTCTCTCTCTCTGGAGCGTCGATACACATTGTGGCACGCAGATGGAGACACAGGGTACCGCCCCCCCGCCCCCCGGGGTAGAACGGTAACAGGCTGTAAGGGGCAAGTGCCGTCAGTGAGTGGCGTGTAGAAGCAGCGCCTACGAAGGCCGGCAACACTTTGTGGCGTGCACAGAGGGGGGTCCCCGTGTCCCCCGCCCCCCCCCCCCCCCCCCCCCCCCCCCCCCCCCCCCCTGCCCTCCCCGTGTCCCCGCGTCTCTGCATTACCGGTCTCCGTGTCTCCGTGTGTCTCCGTGTGTCTCCTGTGTGTCTCCTCCGTGTCCCCGCGTCTCTGCATTACCAGTCTCTGTGTCTCCGTGTGTCTCCTCCGTGTCTCCGTGTGTCTCCGTGTCTCCGTGTGTCTCCTGCGTGTCTCCTCTGTGTCCCCGCGTCTCTGCATTACCGGTCTCCGTGTCTCCGTGTGTCTCCGTGTGTCTCCTGCGTGTCTCCTGCGTGTCTCCTCCGTGTCCCCGCGTCTCTGCATTACCGGTCTCCGTGTCTCCGTGTGTCTCCGTGTGTCTCCTGCGTGTCTCCTCCGTGTCCCCGCGTCTCTGCATTACCAGTCTCTGTGTCTCCGTGTGTCTCCTGTGTCTCCTGCGTGTCTCCGTGTGTCTCCGTGTGTCTCCGTGTGTCTCCGTGTGTCTCCTGCGTGTCTCCTCCGTGTCCCCGCGTCTCTGCATTACCAGTCTCTGTGTCTCCGTGTGTCTCCTGTGTCTCCTGCGTGTCTCCGTGTGTCTCCGTGTCTCCGTGTGTCTCCGCGTGTCTCCGTGTGTCTCCGTGTGTCTCCGTGTCTCCGTGTGTCTCCTGCGTGTCTCCTCCGTGTCCCCGCGTCTCTGCATTACCGGTCTCCGTGTCTCCGTGTGTCTCCGCGTGTCTCCTGCGTGTCTCCTCCGTGTCCCCGCGTCTCTGCATTACCAGTCTCTGTGTCTCCGTGTGTCTCCTGTGTCTCCTGCGTGTCTCCGTGTGTCTCCGTGTCTCCGTGTGTCTCCGCGTGTCTCCGTGTGTCTCCGTGTGTCTCCGTGTCTCCGTGTGTCTCCTGCGTGTCTCCTCCGTGTCCCCGCGTCTCTGCATTACCGGTCTCCGTGTCTCCGTGTGTCTCCGCGTGTCTCCTGCGTGTCTCCCTCCATGTCCCCGCGTCTCTGCAATACCGATCTCCGTGTCTCTCTGTGTCTCCGTGTGTCTCCTGCGTGTCTCCTCCGTGTCCCCCGCGTCTCTGCATTACCGGTCTCCGTGTGTCTCCGTGTGTCTCCGTGTGTCTCCTGTGTGTCTCCTCCGTGTCCCCCGCGTCTCTGCATTACCGGTCTCCGTGTCTCCGTGTGTCTCCGTGTGTCTCCGTGTGTCTCCGTGTGTCTCCGTGTCTCCGTGTCTCCGTGTCTCTCTGTGTCTCCTGCGTGTCTCCTGCGTGTCTCCCTCCATGTCCCCGCGTCTCTGCATTGCCGGTCTCCGTGTCTCCCATGCCCCCCCCCCCCCCACCCCGTGTCCCCCCCCCCCCCCCCCCACCGCGTCTCCCCCGCATTTACCGGCCTCCGTGTCCCCGTGGGCTCGCTGGGCGAGGGCCCCGTGCAGGGACCCCACGTAGAGGCAGTGCCGCAGCTGGATGAGCGACAGCCACAGCACGTGGCACACGAACACGGGCGAGAGCAGGCAGGCACGCAGGGGCGCCGCCCCTCGCGGCGGCGACGGCGACCTCACTTCCTGTCCGGCGGGGCCCACTTCCTGCCCCACCGACGATGTCACTTCCTGTCCGGCAAGGCCAACTTCCTGCCCCGCCGATGATGTCACTTCCTGTCTGGCAGAGCCGACTTCCTGCCCCACCGACAATGTCACTTCCTGTCCGGCAGAGCCGACTTCATGCCCCGCCGCCGACGACGTCACTTCCTGTCCGGCGGAGCCGACTTCCTGCCCCGCCGACGACGATGTCACTTCCTGTACGGTGAAGCCAACTTCCTGCCCCGCCGACGACGATGTCACTTCCTGTCCGGCGAGGCCGACTTCCTGCCCCGCCGACGACGATGTCACTTCCTGTCCGGCGAGGCCGACTTCCTGCCCCGCCGACGACGATGTCACTTCCTGTCCGGCGGAGCAGACTTCCTGCCCCGCCGCCGACGATGTCACTTCCTGTCCGGCGGAGCCAAATTCTTGCCCCGCCGGCGACATCACTTCCTGTCTGGTGCCGCTGACTTCCTGCCCCGCCACTGACCTCACTTCCTGTAGAATCAACGGCAGGGCCTCCTGGGTGGCCAACGCGCTGGGGCCTGGGTTGGGGGGGGAGGAGACGGATATTTGGGCACCTTGAACACATACGTAGACACGTACACACACACACGTAGACACGTAGACACACACACACACACATACACACACGTAGACACGTACACACACACATACACACACGTAGACACGTACACACACACATACACACACGTAGACACGTACACACACACATAAACACACGTAGACACGTACACACACACACGTAGACACGTAGACACACACACACACACATACACACACGTAGACACGTACACACACACATACACACACGTAGACACGTACACACACACATACACACACGTAGACACGTACACACACACATACACACACGTAGACACGTACACACACACACACGTAGACATGTACACACACACACGTAGACACGTACACACACACATACACACACGTAGACACGTACACACACACATACACACACGTAGACACGTACACACACACACACGTAGACATGTACACACACACACGTAGACACGTACACACACACATAAACACACGTAGACACGTACACACACACACGTAGACACGTACACACACATACGTAGACACGTACACACACACACACACGTAGACACGTACACACACACAGTGTACACACATACACACACGTACACACGTTCACACACACACGTAGACACGTACACACACACACAGTGTACACACATACACTCACATAGACACGTACAAACACACAGTGTACACACATACACACACGTACACACACACGTAGACACGTACACACGTAGAAACGTACACACACACATGTAGACACGTACACACACACAGTGTACACACACACACTCACGTAGACATGTACACACACACAGTGTACACACACACGCAGACACACAGTGTACACACGTAGACACGTATACACATACGTAGACATGTACACACACACACGTAGACACACAGTGTACATACACACGTAGACACACACACAGTGTACACACATACACACACGTAGACACACACAGTGTACACACGTAGACACGTACACACACACACGCGTAGACACGTACACACACACAGTGTACACACGTAGACACGTACACACACACGTAGACACGTACACACAAACACTTAGACACGTGCACACACACACAGGTAGACACACACACAGTGTACACACACACACACATAGACACACACACACACAGTGTACACACGTAGACACGTACACACACACACGTAGACACACACAGTGTACACACATACACACAGTGTACACACACACACACACTGTATACACACACAGTGTACACACACACACACATAGACACGGACACACGTAGACACGTACACACACACGTAGACACACACACACAGTGTACACACATACACACACGTAGACACGTAGACACATACACACACACGTAGACACACACACAGTGGACACACATACACACACGTAGACACGTACACACGTAGACACGCACACACACACACAGTGTACACACACATGTAGACACGTACACACACACACGTAGACAGACACACAGTGTACACACACACATGCACAGTGTACACACACACAGTATACACACACACGTACACACACACGTAGACATACACACACAGTGTACACACACACGTACAAACACACGTACACACACACACACAGTGTACACACACACATGTACACAAACACACGTACACAAACACACGTACACACACAGTGTACACACACACAGTGTACACACACACAGTGTACACACACATACACAAAGTGTCCACACACACATACACACACGTACACAAACACACAGTGTACACACACAGTGTACACACAGTGTACACACACAGTGTACACACACACACAGTGTACACACACAGTGTACACACACACACAGTGTACACACACACATGTACACAAACACACGTACACAAACACACGTACACACACACAGTGTACACACACACAATGTACACACACACAGTGTACACACACAGTATACGCACACACAGTGTACACACACACACAGTGTACACACACAGTGTACACACACACAATGTACACACACACACAGTGTACACACACAGTGTACACACACACATGTACACAAACACACGTACACAAACACACATACACACACAGTGTACACACACACAATGTACACACACACAGTGTACACACACAGTATACATACACACAGTGTACACACACACAGTATGTACACACACACAGTATACACACACACAGTGTACATACACACAGTGTACACACACAGTGTACACACACAGTGTACACACACACACGGTACACACACACACAGTGTACACACACACACAGTATACACACACACAGTGTACACACACACACAGTACACACACACAGTACACACACACAGTGTACACACACACAGAAAACACACAGTGTACACACACACACAGTGGACACACACACAGTGTACACACACAGTGTACACACACACAGTGTACACACACACAGTGTACACACACAGTGTACACACACAGTGTACACACACACACACAGTGTACACACACACAGTGTACACACACACAGTGTACACACACACACAGTGTACACACACAGTGTACACACACACACAGTGTACACACACAGTGTACACACACACACACGTACACACACACAGTGTACACACACACAGTGTACACACACACAGTGTACACACACACACAGTGTACACACACACACAGTACACACACACAGTGTACACACACACACAGTGTACACACACACACAGTGTACACACACACAGTGTACACACACACAGTGTACACACACACAGTGTACACACACACACAGTGTACACACACCACACACAGTGTACACACACACACACACACAGTGTACACACACACACAGTGTACACACACACAGTGTACACACACACACACAGTATCTATACACACACCACACACACACAGTGTACACACACACACACAGTGTACACACACACAGTGTACACACACACAGTGTACACACACACACACAGTGTACACACACACACACAGTGTACACACACACACAGTGTACACACACACAGTGTACACACACACAGTGTACACACACACAGTGTACACACACACACACACACAGTGTACACACACACACAGTGTACACACACACACAGTGTACACACACACAGTGTACACACACACAGCGTACACACACACACAGTGTACACACACACAGTACACACACACACACAGTGTACACACACACAGCGTACACACACACACAGTGTACACACACACAGTGTACACACACACATGTACACAAACACACGTACACAAACACACAGTGTACACACACACACAGTGTACACACACACAGTGTACACACACACACAGTGTACACACACACACAGTGTACACACACAGTACACACACACAGTGTACACACACACACACACAGTGTACACACACAGTACACACACACACAGTACACACACACACAGTGTACACACACACACACACAGTGTACACACACACACAGTGTACACACACACACACAGTGTACACACACAGTACACACACACAGTGTACACACACACACACACAGTGTACACACACACAGTGTACACACACACACACACAGTGTACACACACACACACAGTGTACACACACACACAGTGCACACACACAGTACACACACACACAGTGTACACACACACACAGTGTACACACACACACACAGTGTACAAACCTGCCACGCCGCCCTCAGCCTCCACGCAGGAACGGCGGCCATTTTGTGCCGGTGGTGACGGTGACGGCGGCGGCGGCCATTTTGTGCACTGGCCACTCCCCCCGCCACAGCGGTAGCAGCGGAGGTGACGGCAGCGACGGGCGGAGTCAAATCTGACGACGAAAAACCACCCCCGGGTGTTTACAACCTCGCCCGGTACGCGGAGGATGGCGTGGTTTTCATCGGCCCGAAGGCGCAGTTGGTACAGACGGCATTCGGAGATTGTTGGTCACCCCGCGGTGCCGCTTGGTGAATCTCAACGTAGTAGTGTGTAGTAGTGTGTAGTGTATAGTAGTAGTGTGTAGTGTATAGTAGTAGTGTAAAGTGTATAGTAGTGGTGTGTAGTGTATAGTAGTAGTAGTAGTGTGTAGTGTATAGTAGTAGTGTATAGTAGTAGTAGTGTGTAGTGTATAGTAGTAGTAGTGTGTAGTGTATAGTAGTGGTGTGTAGTGTATAGTAGTAGTGTGTAGTGTATAGTAGTAGTAGTAGTGTGTAGTGTATAGTAGTAGTGTGTAGTGTATAGTAGTAGTGTATAGTGTATAGTAGTAGTGTGTAGTGTATAGTAGTAGTGTATAGTAGTAGTGTATAGTGTATAGTAGTAGTGTATAGTGTGTAGTAGTAGTATATAGTGTATAGTAATAGTGTATAGTGTATAGTAGTAGTGTGTAGTGTGAAGTGTATAGTAGTAGTGTATAGTAGTAGTGTATAGTGTATAGTAGTAGTAGTGCGTAGTGTATAGTAGTAGTGTATAGTAGTAGTGTATAGTGTGTAGTAGTAGTATATAGTGTATAGTAGTAGTGTATAGTGTATAGTAGTAGTGTGTAGTGTATAGTAGTAGTGTATAGTGTATAGTAGTAGTGTATAGTAGTAGTGTATAGTAGTAGTGTATAGCAGTAGTGTATAGTGTATAGTAGTAGTGTATAGTAGTAGTGTATAGTGTATAGTAGTAGTGTATAGTGTATAGTAGTAGTGTATAGTAGTAGTGTATAGTAGTAGTGTGTAGTGTATAGTAGTAGTGTGTAGTGTATAGTAGTAGTGTATAGTAGTAGTGTATAGCAGTAGTGTATAGTGTATAGTAGTAGTGTATAGTGTATAGTAGTAGTAGTAGTGTGTAGTGTATAGTAGTAGTGTATAGTAGTAGTGTATAGTGTATAGTAGTAGTGTGTAGTGTATAGTAGTAGTGTGTAGTGTATAGTAGTAGTGTAGTGTGTAGTAGTAGTGTAGTGTGTAGTGTATAGTAGTAGTGTGTAGTAGTAGTGTAGTGTGTAGTGTATAGTAGTAGTGTGTAGTGTATAGTAGTAGTGTAGTGTGTAGTGTATAGTAGTAGTGTATAGTAGTAGTGTATAGTGTATAGTAGTAGTGTGTAGTGTATAGTAGTAGTGTGTAGTGTATAGTAGTAGTGTAGTGTGTAGTAGTAGTGTAGTGTGTAGTAGTAGTGTAGTGTGTAGTGTATAGTAGTAGTGTGTAGTGTATAGTAGTAGTGTAGTGTATTGTAGTAGTGTATAGTAGTAGTGTGTAGTGTATAGTAGTACTGTATAGTGTGTAGTAGTAGTATATAGTGTATAGTAGTAGTGTATAGTGTATAGTAGTAGTGTGTAGTGTATAGTAGTAGTAGTGCGTAGTGTATAGTAGTAGTGTATAGTAGTAGTGTATAGTGTGTAGTAGTAGTATATAGTGTATAGTAGTAGTGTATAGTGTATAGTAGTAGTGTGTAGTGTATAATAGTAGTGTATAGTGTATAGTAGTAGTGTATAGTAGTAGTGTATAGTAGTAGTGTATAGCAGTAGTGTATAGTGTATAGTAGTAGTGTATAGTAGTAGTGTATAGTGTATAGTAGTAGTGTATAGTGTATAGTAGTAGTGTATAGTAGTAGTGTATAGTAGTAGTGTATAGTAGTAGTGTGTGGTGTATAGTAGTAGTGTGTAGTGTATAGTAGTAGTGTATAGTAGTAGTGTATAGCAGTAGTGTATAGTGTATAGTAGTAGTGTATAGTGTATAGTAGTAGTAGTGTGTAGTGTATAGTAGTAGTGTATAGTAGTAGTGTATAGTGTATAGTAGTAGTGTGTAGTGTATAGAAGTAGTGTGTAGTGTATAGTAGTAGTGTAGTGTGTAGTAGTAGTGTAGTGTGTAGTGTATAGTAGTAGTGTGTAGTAGTAGTGTAGTGTGTAGTGTATAGTAGTAGTGTGTAGTGTATAGTAGTAGTGTAGTGTATAGTAGTAGTGTATAGTAGTAGTGTGTAGTGTATAGTAGTAGTGTGTAGTGTATAGTAGTAGTGTAGTGTGTAGTAGTAGTGTAGTGTGTAGTAGTAGTGTAGTGTGTAGTGTATAGTAGTAGTGTGTAGTGTATAGTAGTAGTGTAGTGTGTAGTGTATTGTAGTAGTGTATAGTAGTAGTGTGTAGTAGTAGTGTAGCGTGTAGTGTATAGCAGTAGTGTATAGTGTATAGTAGTAGTGTATAGTGTATAGTAGTAGTAGTAGTGTGTAGTGTATAGTAGTAGTGTATAGTAGTAGTGTATAGTGTATAGTAGTAGTGTGTAGTGTATAGTAGTAGTGTGTAGTGTATAGTAGTAGTGTAGTGTGTAGTAGTAGTGTAGTGTGTAGTGTATAGTAGTAGTGTGTAGTAGTAGTGTAGTGTGTAGTGTATAGTAGTAGTGTGTAGTGTATAGTAGTAGTGTAGTGTGTAGTGTATAGTAGTAGTGTATAGTAGTAGTGTATAGTGTATAGTAGTAGTGTGTAGTGTATAGTAGTAGTGTGTAGTGTATAGTAGTAGTGTAGTGTGTAGTAGTAGTGTAGTGTGTAGTAGTAGTGTAGTGTGTAGTGTATAGTAGTAGTGTGTAGTGTATAGTAGTAGTGTAGTGTATTGTAGTAGTGTATAGTAGTAGTGTGTAGTGTATAGTAGTACTGTATAGTGTGTAGTAGTAGTATATAGTGTATAGTAGTAGTGTATAGTGTATAGTAGTAGTGTGTAGTGTGAAGTGTATAGTAGTAGTGTATAGTAGTAGTGTATAGTGTATAGTAGTAGTAGTGCGTAGTGTATAGTAGTAGTGTATAGTAGTAGTGTATAGTGTGTAGTAGTAGTATATAGTGTATAGTAGTAGTGTATAGTGTATAGTAGTAGTGTGTAGTGTATAATAGTAGTGTATAGTGTATAGTAGTAGTGTATAGTAGTAGTGTATAGTAGTAGTGTATAGCAGTAGTGTATAGTGTATAGTAGTAGTGTATAGTAGTAGTGTATAGTGTATAGTAGTAGTGTATAGTGTATAGTAGTAGTGTATAGTAGTAGTGTATAGTAGTAGTGTATAGTAGTAGTGTGTGGTGTATAGTAGTAGTGTGTAGTGTATAGTAGTAGTGTATAGTAGTAGTGTATAGCAGTAGTGTATAGTGTATAGTAGTAGTGTATAGTGTATAGTAGTAGTAGTGTGTAGTGTATAGTAGTAGTGTATAGTAGTAGTGTATAGTGTATAGTAGTAGTGTGTAGTGTATAGAAGTAGTGTGTAGTGTATAGTAGTAGTGTAGTGTGTAGTAGTAGTGTAGTGTGTAGTGTATAGTAGTAGTGTGTAGTAGTAGTGTAGTGTGTAGTGTATAGTAGTAGTGTGTAGTGTATAGTAGTAGTGTAGTGTATAGTAGTAGTGTATAGTAGTAGTGTGTAGTGTATAGTAGTAGTGTGTAGTGTATAGTAGTAGTGTAGTGTGTAGTAGTAGTGTAGTGTGTAGTAGTAGTGTAGTGTGTAGTGTATAGTAGTAGTGTGTAGTGTATAGTAGTAGTGTAGTGTGTAGTGTATTGTAGTAGTGTATAGTAGTAGTGTGTAGTAGTAGTGTAGCGTGTAGTGTATAGTAGTAGTGTGTAGTGTATAGTAGTAGTGTGTAGTGTGTAGTAGTAGTGTGTAGTGTAGTAGTGTAGTGTGTAGTAGGAGTGTAGTGTGTAGTGTATAGTAGTAGTGTGTAGTGTATAGTAATAGTGTGTAGTGTGTAGTAGTAGTGTGTAGTGTATAGTAGTAGTGTGCAGTGTATAGTAGTAGTGTGTAGTGTGTAGTGTATAGTAATAGTGTGTAGTAGTAGTGTGTAGTGTATAGTAGTAGTGTGTAGTGTATAATAGTAGTGTAGTGTGTAGTAGTGTAGTGTGTAGTAGTAGTGTGTAGTGTATAGTAGTAGTGTGTAGTGTGTAGTAGTAGTGTAGTGTGTAGTAGTAGTGTGTAGTGTATAGTAGTAGTGTGTAGTGTATAGTAATAGTGTGTAGTAGTAGTGTGTAGTGTATAGTAGTAGTGTGTAGTGTATAATAGTAGTGTAGTGTGTAGTAGTAGTAGTGTAGTGTGTAGTAGTAGTGTGTAGTGTGTAGTGTATAGTAGTAGTGTGTAGTAGTAGTGTAGTGTGTAGTAGTAGTGTGTAGTGTATAGTAGTAGTGTGTAGTGTATAATAGTAGTGTAGTGCGTAGTAGTAGTGTAGTGTATAGTAGTAGTGTGTAGTGTATAGTAGTAGTGTGTAGTGTATAATGTATAGTAGTAGTGTATAGTAGTAGTGTAGTGTGTAGTAGTAGTGTGTAGTGTATAGTAGTAGTGTGTAGTGTATAATAGTAGTGTAGTGTATAGTAGTAGTGTAGTGTGTAGTAGTAGTGTGTAGTGTATAGTAGTAGTGTGTGGTGTATAGTAGTAGTGGTAGTAGTGTGTAGCAGTAGTGTATAGTAGTAGTGTGTAGTGTGTAGTAGTAGTGTAGTGTATAATGTATGTAGTAGTGTAGTGTATAATGTATAGTAGTAGTGTAGTGTGTAGTAGTAGTGTATAGTAGTAGTGTGTAGTGTATAGTAGTAGTGCAGTGTATAGTAGTAGTGTGTAGTGTATAGTAGTAGTGTAGTGTATAATGTATACTAGTAGTGTAGTGTGTAATGTATAGTAGTAGTGTGTAGTAGTAGTGTAGTGTATAATGTATAGTAGTAATGTGTAGTAGTAGTGTAGTGTATAATGTATAGTCGTAGTGTAGTGTATAATGTATAGTAGTAGTGTAGTGTATAATGTATAGTAGTAGTGTAGTGTATAGTAGTAGTGTAGTGTATAGTAGTAGTGTAGTGTATAGTAGTAGTGTGTAGTGTATAGTAGTAGTGTAGTGTATAATGTATAGTAGTAGTGTAGTGTGTAATGTATAGTAGTTGTGTGTAGTAGTAGTGTAGTGTATAATGTATAGTAGTAGTGTAGTGTATAATGTATAGTAGTAGTGGGTAGTAGTTGTGTCGTGTATAGTGTATAGTAGTAGTGTATAGTAGTAGTGTAGTGTGTAGTAGTAGTGTATAGTAGTAGTGTAGTGTGTAATGTATAGTAGTAGTGTATAGTAGTAGTGTAGTGTGTAATGTATAGTAGTAGTGTAGTGTATAATGTATAGTAGTAGTGTAGTGTGTAGTGTAAAGTAGTAATGTATAGTAGTAGTGTAGTGTATAATGTATAGTAGTAGTGTATAGTAGTAGTGTAGTGTGTAATGTATAGTAGTAGTGTAGTGTATAATGTATAGTAGTAGTGTAGTGTGTAGTGTAAAGTAGTAATGTATAGTAGTAGTGTAGTGTGTAATGTATAGTAGTAGTGTATAATGTATAGTAGTGTATAGTAGTAGTGTATAGTAGTAGTGTAGTGTATAATGTAGAGTAGTAGTGTAGTGTATAATGTATAGTAGTAGTGTAGTGTATAATGTATAGTAGTAGTGTGTAGTAGTAGTGTAGTGTATAATGTATAGTAGTAGTGTATAGTAGTAGTCTAGTGTATAATGTATAGTAGAAGTGTATAGTAGTAGTGTATAATGTATAGTAGTAGTGTATAACAGTGTAGTGTATAATGTATAGTAGTAGTGTATAGTAGTAGTGTAGTGTATAATGTATAGTAGTAGTGTATAGTAGTAGTGTACAGTAGTAGTGTAGTGCATAGTGTATAGTAGTAGTGTAGTGTATAATGTATAGTAGTAGTGTAGTGTATGTATAGTAGTAGTGTAGTGTATAGTGTATAGTAGTAGTGTAGTGTATAATGTATAGTAGTAGTGTACAGTAGTGTAGTGTATAATGTACAGTGGTAATGTATAATGTATAGTAGTAATGTAGTGTATAATGTATAGTAGTAGTGTAGTATATAATGTATAGTAGTGTATAGTAGTAGTGTAGTGTTTAATGTATAGTAGTAATGTATAGTAGTAGTGTAGTGTATAATGTATAGTAGTAGTGTATAGTAGTAGTGTAGTGTATAATGTATAGTAGTAATGTATAGTAGTAGTGTAGTGTATAATGTATAGTAGTAGTAGTGTAGTGTATAGTAGTAGTGTATAGTAGTAGTGTAGTGTGTAGTGTATAGTAGTAGTGTAGAGTAGGTGGTGGTGAGTGGTGGTGAGTGGTGGTGGTGAGTGGTGGTGAGTGGTGGTGGTGAGTGGTGGTGATTGGTGGTGGTGAGTGGTGGTGAGTGGTGGTGAGTGTGGTGGTGAGTGCTGAGTGGTGAGTGGTGGTGAGTGGTGGTGAGTGGTGAGTGGTGGTGAGTGGTGGTGATTGGTGCTGATTGGTGAGTGGTGAGTGCTGAGTGGTGGTGAGTGGTGGTGAGTGGTGAGTGGTGGTGAGTGGTGGTGATTGGTGCTGATTGGTGAGTGCTGAGTGGTGGTAAGTGGTGAGTGGTGGTGAGTAGTGCTGATTGGTGAGTGGTGGTGAGTGGTGGTGAGTGGTGGTGATTGGTGCTGATTAGTGAGTGCTGAGTGGTGAGTGGTGGTGAGTGGTGAGTGGTGGTGAGTAGTGCTGATTGGTGAGTGGTGGTGAGTGGTGGTGAGTGGTGCTGATTGGTGAGTGGTGGTGAGTGGTGCTGACTGGTGAGTGGTGGTGAGTGGTGGTGAGTGGTGGTGATTGGTGCTGATTGGTGAGTGCTGAGTGGTGAGTGGTGGTGAGTGGTGAGTGGTGGTGAGTAGTGCTGATTGGTGAGTGGTGGTGAGTGGTGGTGAGTGGTGCTGATTGGTGAGTGGTGGTGAGTGGTGCTGATTGGTGAGTGGTGGTGAGTGGTGAATGGTGGTGAGTGGTGGTGGTGAGTGGTGGTGGTGAGTGGTGGTGAGTGGTTACTGACCGTGGAGCAGCAGTGGTGAGTGGTGGTGGTGAGTGGCATAGTGGTGAGTGGCGTAGTGGTGAGTGGTGGTGGTGAGTGCTGAGTGGTGGTGAGTGGTGG